CAGCATGCACAGGGGACTGTCTGTTCCATTTATATTAAACAATATATGTTAAACTGTGAATACCAGAAGACCTAGATTTTCTTTCCCTAGAGAAATGTCTAAAATATAAATTGTAGAACTATGTTTTATTTTATTTCTATTCTAAATTTCATTATTTTATTCCATTTTACCTCTAAAAAAGTGTTTTTGGACTACAGTCTTTCATTCAAGGAGTAAAATACTAGAAGAGTTTGTATTTTCACTTCAGATAATTTTACTAACTGCTAACACTCATTCATTTTTCTTTTTCCATATGATTGTTTTCAGCGTTCATAGATTCAGTCAAGTCCAGAGAAATCAGGAAGTCCCATTCTCCATGTTTTCTCCAAAAAGAGAGACCTCTTCTAATGGTTTTTCAGAAGTTCTCACTTTTCTTTCAGACTCTTTTCAGAAAGAGATAGTCTGTGGTTTTGGTGCTGTGCTATCCTTGGATATCAGAAAAACATCACAATAGGGTCAGCAGACTGCTTTTATTTTGTTTCTGCAAAATGATCGTGTTGCCTTCATAAAATGATAGAATGGTCTAGAAGAGAACTTACGACATTAAATAGTCCAAGCTGCTTTCCTATAATAGGATCACTACCCTTATTTGATTCTTCAGAGATGATTGTCTAACCTGTTCTTAAAATGTCTTGACAACTTCCCTAGATTGAATATTCAAGAATTTTTATTTTCCTAGGTCCTAGAAAATTATTCTTGTAGTCTACATAATCATTCTTTCTGCTATTTCTTGCTTTCTCTTCTGTCTACCATGAGCCCAAGGAAAAGATCATTCCCTCCTCTATTTTGTATCTAAAGACCATTATATTCCACTGCCAAATTTCTGGTCTAAAAATTTTGAGTTATTTTAAATCATCCTGCAGGTCACGTTTTTCTGACCTGTGATGAGTCCTGTTGCCCTTCTCTCGACTCTCTCTGATTGAATTGCACATCTCTCAAAGTACAATAGCCAAAGCTTTGCACAGCCTCCAAGCTGAAGCTTTAGCAATGCTGAACAGACCAAGAGGATTTCTTCATGTCTTCCAGGCTTCCAATGTCTTTTACATATCCTAGCAAGATGTTTTCCTTCATTTGCAACAGCATGACATTGACTCATGTTCAGCTTGTGATCTATCAAAACAAATTCCTTTCTGCAGAGTTGCAACCTAGTAATTTACTTGTGTCTTGTGCTTATGCGGTTGATAATTTCTGCCTTACTTTATCCCTACTAAATTTCATCCAGCTCTTTTCCGAGCAGTGCTTCTAATTTGTTGGAAAATTTCTGAATTCTAATCTTTTCCTCCAGCACATTTCAAGTGTCACAGTTTTATGTCCCTGGAAAATGTGATTTACTCACTCCTTAAATTACCATTCAGGTCACCTAAAAACACTGAACAAAAGCAGATCCAGGACACCCCAACACAGCTATCCTATCAGTGTTAAGCAGCTTGTGACCTCTCTGAAAGACTGGCACAGACTAAAAGCATACAGATTATGAGTTCTGAATCTTCTGATATTATTTAAAGATCTGCCTGTTCAGATAATCATGTTTACCCAGTTTATACCCTCCTTCACCTGCTATGCCCCATGCCTCATCAAAGCAAATATTAATTAATGTGTAACCACAGTCAAGAATCTCAACTTTTACTTAAAAAAAAAAAAAAAAAAAACAGCCCGAAATTAAATCTCTCATGCCACAAATATCTTTTAATATGTAAAATGAACAAAAGCTAATTCTATTAAACTTGCTGGAATACTGAAAATATAAATGGGAAAGATGTGACCATTTCTCTTAAATGACTTTGGGATATATCAGAAATGACATAATTTATTACACTCACTGTAGTTACAAGAATAAACTTCAAGGGCAGCACCAAGGCAGCTGGTTGATTTCAAGGGGCTATACATTTTCTTTGCATCTGCTTTTGACCAAAGGACTGCAGGATCCTTTCCTTGGAGCTTAAATGCCAGCCATGATGGTCATAAGCAGGCACATAACAGATAGTAAGCCTTTGTGTACATTTGAATAAAGATGATCTGGTATTCCTCCTGACAACAGAGGCTGCAGTCTCTCATCTAGCTCTGGCTCTTATTCCAGCAATCATTACCACAGTCTCCCCAGCTTCCTTAACCCAATACAGACAGTTTTCCAGGCACCATGGCTGAGGTCCCAGCACAGCAGAAAACATGCATGGTATGAATTAATCAGCTGGAGGGTGAAAAGGAAGAAATAGGATTTTATGAATTTTTACTGTTTCCTGATGGAGCCGTAGTAATCAATTATTAGCCCCTGGAGTAACACTCACTGCTTGCTCTGTGATTATCTGATTCTGACAGTGTTACCTCTGCTGGAAACCTCAGACCTGTGCTTAGATGCAGCAGGAATTCCTCCTTTGTTCTCTAACATGTCTGGAGGAAGCATGCAACTAGAGAGAAGCTTTACAGGGACAAGAAAGCACTCAGGTAGACAACAGATTTACAGAGAGCCAGTAGCATAGTAATTGCATATTACTGACTTATCTCATTTGAACATCAGGCAAATTTCCTGACCAAGGAAAGAGTCAAAGGAAAAGGTAAAGGAAAGCTGAAAGGAAAAATGAAGTCCTGACTTAACATCAGCTTGGATTGGTTGGCCACTGGGATCTCTACTAAATTTCAGAGTGTCAAACAAGATGTAAGAGTTGAAGCTTTTAATTTTTACTAAGTGAAAATCACAGTCAAGTCTTTCAAATATTTTATGATGAACTATCAAATTGCCAAGCCTTAATGTGCCATCCAAGACAGTATGAAGATCCTCACCCCTACAGACTAGTCAGTAAATTGTAATGCAGTGAAACATCATTTTCCTTAACTGTGGATCGTGGAGTAGAATGCATACTTTATACTTGGGTGTTTTAAAGGGAGGGGTGAACAGAAGAGTTCAGGAGTAAAATCCACCAAATCCTAACATCTGACCTCAGATGCTGACAACAGAGTCCTAGACATCAGCATTTGTAAGACTCTAGCAAGTTTAAACCCTATTTTTTTTTCTTTATTCTCATTCTTAGGGTCAATGCAGAGATGAGCATCTCTTGGAGGGAGACATTTCTCAGCTGAGAATATGATATTCTCAGAGGTACTCTCCACCTTGGAAGTCCACTGTCACTATCAGATTAGTTTGTTTCAGTGCTCTCTGTATACAACTAACCGTAAGAATGCAGAAATTCTGGCAGAAGAACAGTGATCTCTTGGAGGCTCACTGCAGGCCTACTTTCCACTAGCATCCAGTTCCACTAGCACTGGTCTATTTCCCTTGGTCTTCATATTACAGGGTGCTCTGCACAGAAGGTTCTTGTCTCTTTACACCTCTGACATACCGTGTTTCTCACTGTGCCTGTTTTCATCCAGGTTACTATTTTATACAAGAGTTGGTGTTCCATGAATGGGTGATCAACAGTCAGCCTTGCTGCAATATGTCTGTTATTAAAAAGGAGAGTATAAAAGCTATCATACACCTACTTGACCACAGGTCACAGCATAGTTATCCTATTTTTCCATAAGTACAGCTGCTGCCACTGTGGGTCCACCCAGCCTCATGTATTTGGAAAATATAAATGGTTTGCAGTTTATCAATGGAGAGCACAGCACAATGGACAGATGATCACACAAGTAAAACATAAATAACAACAAACAGGGTTCCAAGTTTTGGCATCAACTCTTTGGTTGCAATGTATTTTATTTCTGCATGTGTTTCTTCATCTACAAAATAGCAAATGTCTACAACATCAACAAATTATCAGATTTAAATCAATTCTATATCAAAGCCATAGGATCTCCATTACAGAAACCAAACGTACTTTGAAGGCATTGCTTCTTCCAGATGGAAAATCCAAAACTCATTTGCACAGCCTAGTCTATGAACCATTCAGTACTCTGAATTACAGCTTTTTAGAGGGAAACAGAAGGAATGTAGAGGGTAACCTTACTCTACTGGGAATCCTCATGCTTCCTTGACATACCTTTTACTGCTACAAATTAACTCTTAAAAATGGCCAGACAAGTAAACAGCTACCATATGCCTAGACAAGATTGCAGCCTCATTGGCAAAGTGTTTCAAAGTCTTGTTACACATCATGTCCCTGGAGAAGCTGCAGAAGGTTGCAATAGCATCAGAATGAATAATTGAAGCACGGCTCATTCATTATGTGCATAAACTGAAGGGTCACAATGCTGCCTTCTAGTCAGCCGGCATCGCAGAAACTCACCCAGTGTCTAATAGAAACATTATCTGGAAATACTGACCTACTTCCCTGGGAGCTTTTCGGGAATGGGTTGAAGACATGACGGTGGGATTGCCAAGTACACAGAGAAGGATTAAACTAGATTGTCTAACAGAAAATTGTACATTACAGAATCAGTTGCATATGTTACTCTTGGGAAAACCCTTGATACTCAGTTCCCCCAGGAAACTAGAGATCCATGCAAGATCAGTGCTATTTTCCACCTGAGAAACTGCCTCTGGGGGAATTTTTTGGGATTCTCTTTCCCATAGCCAGTCCCTGGGAGGTTTTCCAGCCTCTGCTCCGTGCAAAGTAGGGGCAAAATTTCATACCCTTTCCCACATAAACTCTAGCCGTTTCATACTGCAAATAAAATGGGTGAGGGAGGGTAACTCGGGCATTTCCCCCTATTGTCCAGTCGCTCAGTGGGAAGGAGGATGCTCAGTCCGCCCGGCCGCCCGCGCCTTGCCCGCCGCCCCCGAGGCCAGGGGCTGGGGACACCGCAGCTGCCCCGAGCGCCCGCCTTCCCAAGGACCGCGGCGGCCGCCGACAGAGCACCGACGGCCCCTCCGTCGCCGCCCGAGCACCGCTCCTCACCGGCGGCCTCCCCCTAGGCCCTCGGTCCCGTTCCATCGCCCCTGTCCGACCGGGGGATCCCATCTTAGTCCCCGGCCCTGCAGGTGCAGCCCGGCCCCCGCAGCAGCGGCTCCCCCGGCACGGTACCTGCTGCCGCCCCGCGGTGGCGGCTCCGCGGCGGCGGGGTCCGAGCGCGGTGCTGGGTGCGATGCTGGGCGCGGTGCTGGGCGCGGTGCTGGACGCGATGCTGGGCGCGGTGCTGGACGCGGGGCCGCGGCGCTGCCTGCGCACTGACAGCTCGGGAGCCGCGGCGGCGGCGGCGGGGGCCGGGACTGGCAGGGGGGCTCGGGCACCCGGGGCTCCGGCGCCGAATCAGGGATGGGAGGAGGGCCCGGGGGCGGGCGGGAGAGGGGAAGGGGAGGGGGCGGCGGGGCGGAGGGTGTCGGAGTCCCTGTCACCGCCGCAGTCCGGTCGGTCTCCGGGAGGCGGTGGCGCCCGCGGAGGTGCGGGCCGGGGGGGACGTGTGAGCGCCCACACGGGAAAGGGCGACTGAGAGATGCGGCGGTGTGAGAAAGCCGGGCTGGGCTCTCTGCTGCCTACCCGGGAGGAGAGGGCGCAGGAGACGAGCGCCGCGGGACTATGCACCAGCCTTTCATTCAGCACAGTGGCGTCTGCGGCGACAGAGGGGGAAGCGAGGGAGCGCCCTGCGCTGCTCTCCTCACAGGCAGTGGTGTGGGACCGGCCGGACCGCCCTGAGGGTGGTGAGGGAAGAGCCCAACGCCCTCCAGTCCAGGGCTAAGCGACCCAGGACAGTGGTCCCACCCCGGCAGTCCTCGGTCAGGTGCATGAGGGACAGGTAATAGACTTAGCTGGATCAAAGGATATAACTGGGGGAAACGACAGGGTTTTGGCTACCCAAGAGCATGTTCATGCCTGTCTGACCTTCTGCTCTGGAGATTTTTGAGTCCCAAAGCATGTCTATAGACTGTGTTATTTGGTTCATAAAAAGCTTGTATGTCTCTCTAAAAACCTTGGCTTGCCTTAGATCATTACCTAACAACAACAAGGCTAGTACTTGTTCCTTGAAGGCTGGCACCGTTTCTGCTGACAGTGAAATAACAGGCTTTTCACATTCCAGTTCTGTGTTGAAGAGCATATTTGGGGGTTTGTAAAGCATGTTTATTGTTAGCCCTACAGAATCTAATGTTGACTTCCTAGAAGATGTAAAGATCTGAATGTTTAAAAAACGTTCTAGCTCTCCAACACGAAAGGTCTTTCACTCTCCTGCACACGGCTGCTATGAGGGGAATTTAGATGGCATTGTACTCACTGAGAGTACAGATGGGGCACCAAGTAATGCTTCTCTAGTGGATAGTCCAGCCTTTGTTGCCCTGTGTTAGCATGCTCTGCTTTCCAACCTCCATCTCCACTTACTCTCTTGTGACAGACACCGGTACTTTCCCCTGTTGCAGTAACAGACACATTGGAATCAGTTTTCACGTCGCCCCCTTCCCTCCCTTCCTCATGAGGTGTCAGAGTACACAGTGCACCCATGTACCAGTCACAAGGCTGATCCCTACAACAGACAGAGAGTGGGGGGAAAAAAAAAAAAAAAGAAAAATTAATAGCTTTCTTAGAGAGAAAGAGGACTGACAGATGGAATGACCAGAAAGTCATTTGCTTTTTAGTGTAAGGAGGCAATTTCTGGCATAACAAGAACTTCCCTCCACTCAATAGCTTGTCTAATGTGGTGTGCACAATCACACTAAATACCTGCCACTATGTAAATCTCTACCCATTGTCCCTATGTTATATCTTTCATCTTCCCTCCTACAGAGCAAAACAAAGGTGTTGATGACAGGCAGAATGAGACATGAGAGAGTTAGAAACTAACCCTCATGTGGGTCTGGTAACAGCTGTCAGCTGAGCAGAGTATATCCTGTATGGGCTCACATCCAGCTGGTACTGCTGGCTAAACATATTTTGTGCTCTCTTAACAGCCTCTTTACACATTTCAAAGCACAGATTACTCAACACCCTGCTCCTGGAGGAACGAATGGACCACTAAACTCCCAGGATATGAGAATGCTCATCTTGAACATAGCCTAGACAAATATATTCCTTTTAATCATCTAGGAATGATAGCAAGGATGAGTAATTTATCAACAGTATGATAAATTGCCCTTCTAAATATGTATGTTGCTACTGGGGTCAAAGTGATTGAGTACTAGGATACTACAGTGTTATAAAATAGATGTATATTTGGCATTGTCCTGTGTAGTCCAGATGATCTGTGCTCTGCTCTGCCTCTGCCAGCCAGTTTTTCTTTCTCCTTGGTATGTCTCTTAGCTTTATCTTGAACAGGCATAACAAACTATAATTTTGACAAGCTATTTTTGTCTCCTGGGAGTCAAGCAGTCATCATGGTGTGATTATGGCCTCAGGTTTGCATATTTCATCCTCCCTAACTCTTAAACAAGGCGGCTGCCCATCATCTTTGTTTTATCGTTCTGGGTATCTTTGTTGCTGTCTTCCTGTTGAGAGAAAAGGGATGGGCCACGTGACATATTGAAGCCTTGCTCTCCTGTTATCAGAGCCCAGGCTTTCTGCTGTTATCTTTGATGTGGCTGTATTGGAGTGCAGACCTTCTGGTCTTGATGCATGCATATTCCTTATTACCTGTTTATTGCAGTTGATTGTACCCTTGGTGATCAATATGTGCCATATTTGTAATCCTTTATCTGTATTGTATCACTATAAAGATGAGAAATGTCAAAGTAAGTAGTGATTCAAACAAGCCTAAGGATTAAAAAGAATACTTCAAAAATACATAAATACTCTCTAGTAAGTAAAACAACTTATAGTGGGACAGTGTAGGGCTAAAAGAAATAAAGCTCTGTGGTCCATTTTTGATGTGGCAAAAATCCTACATTAGTCTACAGCTGTTTGTATATTTATTACTAACCTGGAAATTAAATGATCAGCTGTTAGCAGACGCTCACCAACTTGACTTACACTAACTGTAAGTCAAGTTAGTGTCACTTGACTTAAAATGAAATCTCCCCACAACAAAGAACATCATCAGTGACTATCATGGGTGAATAACTAAGAGTTCTTTATGAGACCCCCCACCTGCAAATCTTGTTCTTGGAAATGAAGGGACGTTTGGTGAGCTTTGGTTTGGTTTGTTTCTTTTCACGGTCTGGTTTTCTATGATTCTGAATAGCCTACTTAAGACAGAGATGCATAGTGTTTCTTTTAGAAGGGTTCAAAGCTTGAGTCTTGGGGGTCATTGATCATATCAGGTCTGGGCTGTGCTGTAATGGCAGAAAGCCAAGCGGGGAGATATTCTGTGTCTACTGAAATCTGGAGCAGGTCCACCTAGAAAGGTAGGTCAGAGGGAAACTATGATTACTTCTGTAGAGGAGTAGTTCTATGCCACATGCATGAATGAGGAGGGAACAACACCTGTGATAAGTGCTGGATGTGCTGTGTTTTCCTTCTTTGCTAACTGAAAGAGATTCTGGGTGCGTGTGGTGCATGCCAGCAGAAATGCAGTGTAAGTTATGTTCATGTGATTGAAGTGTAATCCTGGGTACAGCGGGAGCAGATTAATGTTTCTTGCATGACTACATTGGGTATCACTGGCAGGGATCAGAGGGAAAAAGCTGAAACCCTTGTGGCTGACTGACAACTTATGAGATATGGCAAAAAAAAAATCTGGAAAACACTCAACTTATCCAATAGGTGTTAGACTCCCAGCAAGACACCTTGCAAGAACTTGTCTGGCAAAATGTAATGGAAAATTTCAGGATATATCTGATGGGACTTCTTGCAAGAAGGTGAGCAATAGCTGCTGGTAACTCTATGAAAAAAAGACAGGTAAAGCCAACAGCACAATGATAACAGGGCAGCATGCTACAATTTTGCTGTACTTGGTAGTCATGAATGCTGTTCTTTTCCATTGGAGAAGCAGCCAGGAGGACACAAAAGTGACAACATAAGAAGAATGTAGAAAAAATATCGTTTAAACTCAGTGGATGGAACACATAAGGTGTCAAAAAATTTAAAGAAATATTTCTCTTGCTTGTCTTCTAAAGCTAGGGTCTGAGAAACAAGAATAATAATTAAAAAATTGCAATTTCTGATGATAAAAAGAATTTTTATATAACTGACAATGCTGAAGTGTCAGAATGATTCTTATGACTGGAATGTTGAGAATTCACATAACCTGTATAAGAAGGAAGGTGTGGTATAATTGCATGAAATTTAAAGTTCTGACAAGTATTTGTCATGAAAAGAATGTTAAAAATTCACCTGAAGGAAACTAAGTATTTTTGCTTATATTTGAAGAAGTTAACGTGTCAGAGAGAGATACAGCTCTGAATTCCACTGGGACACCTATAGAAACATATATAGGCCTTGTACATACTCAACATCAGATCCCCTCACACCACAATCAAATCTGTCTCATTCACTTAGGAGAAACAAACAAGCAAACAAAACCAAACCCCAAACAACAATCACTTTAAAACAGTTTGCCTAACAACTAGTTCCCATCCAACTACCAAAGAAGAAAACCATCTTTACAGGTATAGGCTTTCCCCTTCCTCTTTGAGTCTTTGTCCTTTTTCCTGGAAATAATTCTGGAAAATTTACAAATATTCTGGAAAATTTATTCCTTTCACATACGAATAGGATACAATTGAATAGCAAACCCGAGTCTTTAATGGCTATATTCAATAATATTTTCCCAGTATCAGCTTCTAAAGATGAAGATCAGTTAGCATATGCAGTCAGGAAACATTAACAATACCACTGTACTTTTATCCATTCAGAAGCCCAAACAAACCCCCCAGATTTGTTAATGGTAATTATGTAATTATGTAAACAGAGAAGCAATTATTTCCTTGGTACATAAATATCTTAACTGAAGTGGTATCCACTGACAGCTGAGTTCAGAGTTTTTTTGAATCATAATAAAATGTGTCTGAACTTATTAAAACTCATAGATTTCTTTTTACTATCTTTTATATTCAAATGAAGATAGTATAATTCTATATTTTAGGCACCTGATAAAACCATATTAAAATCGTCCTTCCCACAGTGTGTACTGATATACATGTATCTGTGGTTTTCCTGCAAGTCCCTTGAATTAAATTCTGAGTTATGTGGGCATTTACCCACAGCTAAAATTACTTTTCATCTCTGAGCTGTTTTCCTGAAAATCTGAATATTAAACCCTTCATCCTCCCTCCAAGAGACTAATCAGAACATGTGTCAAAGAAACTGAGAAAAATCTTTACAGGGTTGATCAATCTTCTCAGTAACTAAGTTCTTCAATATTTCAATTTGACAATGTGAATATTATGAGAATTCCACCATATTCCTAATTTCTATGTGGGTTTAAGTTTTGATTCTTAACATTTTTTAAATTCTGTAAATTGACACATTTTATTACTATCAACTCTCCTTTAGGCATCCTTGGGATTCAAGATCTCTCCTTATTACTTGAAATTATGAAACAAACACTCTGCCAAGTGATTTTTACTGATAACACAGTTGGGAAATTCTGAACCTCTCTGAATATAACTGAACAAATGTAAGCAGTGCTGGTCTAAGCAGTAACCTCTAACCTTTTGCAGTTTTTTCTTGCCCCTCATTTGTGTTCTTAAATGTTTCTGGATGAGGACACAGACCCACATTATGAAATGGATACATCTGGAAAATAGTCCAAGAAAAAAAAAGGATGCAATTTGTCACCCACATGAGGTTCCTGATCTTGCTCATTGTGCATTTCCACAAACTATTGTCCTGACATCTGTCAGAAATCGGTCATGAGCAAGGACAGCCTAA